CAAACCACAATCTGTAGTCAATTAATCAATCGAAGTTAATTTATCAAATGCACCACAATACAGCGTGCAGCAGCAGTTGCTGGCAATGAAATGTCTTTTCTATGAGCTCACTGGGGGGAGTTAAAAATAAAAAACTAAAGTTACAAAATATGGTTACATAATAATAGATAATAATGTAATAGAATTTGAATAAACTCAGACAAAACTCAATATAAATAGAGCTGCTATGTCTACATGGTGTATGCAATATATTATTAGTCTAGCACATCACCAGATTGGGTGACGCTATGATGTACCAGTTCTCCCCTTTCAGAGAAGCCTGCTCAGTCCCTGGGCTCACCCATCCACAGGCGGTCTTCCCTTCACTGGAAGATACACGTCCCCCCCCTACCCCACCCATGTCTCCTCAGAGACCTAATGGTGCACCTTGCCCAGTTTCCAAGCATACAGTAAATACTAATCTATTACTCTATAGTGACCCTGAAGAATTTAAATTTACCCAGGAATACATACTAAAGAAACAAAAGGTAAAATCATTCTGGATGCATCTTTCTTTTCACAGTCCACACCTTAATAATATCCTTGCAAGTCTTGATTTTCTATTTCTATTTTTCAGCCTTTAACTGGTATTAGGACTGCCAGAAGGCTGCTAATGTTAAAGCACAGAAGTTAAATAAACACTCCCCTGTGCTGTCTAAACTCTCTATAGTTCAGGATGCCACTCACACACTCCCTGAACTGCAGGAGCTTAGCTTAGATGCAGTCCCCTGCCCTCTGCACCTGACTGCTGACTTCTGCTCCTCCAGAGGAACATCCAATTATGCACAAGACCTATCAAATGTGGGTCAATCATGCTGTCTTGGCTAAAGTTTAATAGCAAAAATGGTTGCTCTCAGATATAACTGTTTTATTAATGGACAATCTCGTGTTAATCCTTGCTGAAAACATCTAAAATGTCACTTGCAACCCCTATACTAAGAGGTTCCCAAATTCCTCATAAAAACATCACTTCCCAGGAAATACTAATGAATCAACACTGTCCTTCACATTAGGCATAGAGCAAAACACAACATAGAACAAAATATTTTCATGTAGAAAATGTAAGGCTGTTTATTTTCATTGAAAAATAGATTTGATGCTAAAGTCAACCTGGCTTCCAAATACTGTACCATACTAAATAGCAAAAGAAAGTTCAAAGTAAGTGCAAGATGACTCTAGTCCTTCCTGACATTTGCAGATTCTGGAGTCATCTTTCAAACACCATAAAATAAGGACATTTTTTCCTGGGCATTGTTTATATAGAAGCTTCAGCATCATGTTGCAAACTCTACTTATCAGGTTCCAAATTTCAAACTCTGCCAAATTTAAATATGAACCGGCTTTGCATTTTAGACTTGATAAATTCACAAAGGTGAAGCACACATCACTTCATCATGCCATTGCAAAAAAGATCAGAAATCAGAGTCCATTCAATTGATTGTACTGTATGTTAAGACATTTAGTCTTCAGTATTGATATCCATCTTTTAAATGCCACAGATCTACTAGAGATCTTTTCTAGTATTTGTAACGGTATTCATCAAATCGTTGTCGTCTTGAAACCCACTTTTACTGCTTACATACTGTAAGAGCAGATTGACTGAAAAAAATTGATTGCTTAATTGATCATTTGGGTCAAAAACTGGGAGTGAATATGTACAGTAGCCCAAGGCATCTTTGTTAAATGTGGGAAAGCAATTTGTTAGTATGCATTCCAAGAATCTACTTAACATAATCAGTGATCGGCAGCACTCTGTGAATGTGCAAGAGGAGTCTTCAGCCTTGTATTCTGATCATGGCTAAAGTTTTAATAGGGCATAGGAATCTTACTAAAGGCTATTAATTTTCTATATTTTGATTAAGTTTTGATGGCTGAGTGATTTTGTCTAGATATTTTATGAATTGCATGCAGAGTAACCTTTATTGTGCTTTGGCATAATTAAATTATATTTCATGATAAATTTATTATTGCACTTTCAGACAGTGACTTACAGCTGTCCTTGTTTGGATGGTACTTTATACTTGTTTTAATTGTTTTAAATTATTTTTAGAATGCACCAGAATGGCAGAATGGAGCACTCCCAATTCATAGCAAGTTGAGCTCAAGGTCAGTGCTGATGTCAATGTTATCTGCACGCAATGATGCGTTGCAAGCAGAGCCCAGTAATGTATTTCCAACGCTCTCTCTAAGAACTCCTACACACTGCAAGGTGGCTGCCGACAGCTTATGATGGAAAATGTGTTTACTTAGAACAGTTGACTGTAGAATATTTTTTTAAAATACAGAAAGTCCATAGAATTTTGGTAGAAGGTGTTTTTAGTGCTTTCTTACACAAATGACAGCATCATTAATAGAATTAAAGTACTGTATAGCCATGCTTTTAGCCTTAATAAAGCCTTGTAAGTAATTCCCAATAAAAACACAGGAACAAAGAAATCCTGTTCCTTCTCCTAAAAATAAGTGTGTGTGAGCTGCTGATATACCTGTTCAGTTTATTTTCTTTTATGCCCACAATTCTGTATCGAGATGCTGTACATGCTTTAAATGTGTTATTTAACCTCCTCCTTAATTTTATCTCATTATTAGAAACTCTCCCTAGCTGGTAATATAATGAGGCATACATTTTCACAGAAATCAAGCTGACAGCACCTAAGATATGAAATCATGCTGTCAGTGTCTTTGCAAAAATCTTTGTGGGCTTACAATGCATTTTAATTCTCATTAGCAGTTCTCCCTTTGTGTTCTCAGTGTATAAGCACCTTCACTCCCCCATCAAGGAGTCCATATATAGTCATTTATGGCTTGTTACTGTAGATAGAGCCTCCAATAGCCTTGGCCTTTCTGATAACTAGCCTATTACTGCATCATACTCCCTAACTCAGTTTGCTTTTTCTGTTACTTAACTTTTGATTGCAATCATCCCTGATTAAACTCCAGTCCAGCGACAGGTGTACATAAATAATGTAGCAAATAAATTCATTGTCTGGGGTTCCTTGTTTTTGTTTTTTTCTCAGCATTAGATTGTCCTAGACTTCAATTGCTCAATCATTCTCATACAAGAAACATTGATTTCTTTCAAGACCTGACCTTTGTAAAATATTATAATGAGCTTTGTTGCTGTGGATGTAATTATTTTTCATTTATTACAGATTTACAAACTCACTTACTGCCTGCTACAGCCGCTTTCGTAGACTACCATGCAAACTTCATAACAATTTCACAGGTGTATCATTCATTCTCCAGAAAACACCGGGGCACTTTGATTAATGTCACGTTCTCAAAGTGAGGGAATAAAATAATAGCAACACACATGAAAGATGGCTGGGGTAGTTGTGAATGAAAATATAAAAATGTTGAGGGAAGTAGTTGTGTTTCTTGTTTCATCTCCAAGAAGAAAAGCAGCGACAGTTGTTTTATACCCATCATTGTAGAAAAACCAAATGACAGCAATTGAGTAATTAGTCCCCTTCATTATATCCCTAGTAGAATGTTGTTGATTCAGTTTCAGTAATGCAAGCTAATATTTTACTAACATTTAAAGACTGAAACAAACTGAAATGTAGTCATTATATTTCTATTCATTTTCTTGAGTTCATAATGGCAGCAATATATCACTAAAATATTAAAGTGAAAAAAATAAAGAATAACGTTCCAGAAAGATATCAATAAAACATACTTCTCAAATAAAAATGATTCTGGGATGCATTTTTCCCATATGTTCACAATTGTATGATGAACATGCAAAAACACTAGAGAAAAGTACTGTGTGTTCCCATCTTATCCAAATTAGCAGTAACAATAAAGTGCCTGTTATGTCCTATATTTTTGAGTATATAGTGGTGCTTTCTGCTGTGCTTTAGGAAATAAAGCCAACCCTGGGGACTTTACTAGAGATTGTGTATGTGATTGTGTATGCATTTGTAGTGATTGATAAATGTCTGACATTGTAAATGTCTGGAAAGCTGTATTAGAGACCTCAGAACCACCCACATCTCATGTGTCAACTGCTACATATAGAAATAATAAAAATAATTGAGGAGAACTCTTCCTGTAAAACTTCACAGAAAACCTGTGAACATGTAATGGAAGAGATACATTAATGTGCTGCAGATATATTCGCTCCTGGAGGTGGACAGAGCCATTAGTAGTCGTATTCTATAATTCTGCGGTAGGACATTGCATGAACACAACTACATGTTCGATGCTCAATACAAATTATAGATTGGCTAATAAGATCTCTTAATGACCTCAAATTGGTATGCACACAGTATAAACTGTGTACTGTATATATCACACTCTGTCTCAATGCTTAACCATCTACAGTACACCTATTATTAGACATACCTATTGTAAGAAACACAAAAGTGTTCATTTTTTTCTCCCTTATTAATATTTTCACCATGCAAAAATATAACAGGGTTATCAAAAAGTGCAGAGAAATGTATTAAAGAATTGTGCCAGACCCACAGTCAGCAATATTTAAATAAAAAAAACCTGCAGTCACCTGTAGAAGAGATCTGAAGTTCAGCATTTCAACTCACTAGTCTTGTTTTTAGAGATAGAACATTTACCATATTTTTTCATTATTATTGAAGTAAAAGAAAATTTAAATGCTTTAAGAATTCATTTAAAAATAGGATCCTGTATTTTTGGATCCGTTTCCACTAAATATCGGGAAGAAGTCCAACCACTGCAGCCGTCAATATCCTTGGCTTTTGTCAACCTGAAGGAAAGCCAAGTTCAGTTTGAGTTATTGTCATCTATCTTTTTTTATTTCATCTACCTTAAAAGCAGAATTTCAAAACTACTAAGTGAAGGTGGATATGACAGAATACTGGTTTCCAGAATCTATTGCAGACCACAAAATATATTTAAAGCCAGGAACGCAGCTTCCAAAGACAGATATAACATCACAGCTTAACTGAAGCAGGACACAGAACAGACAGTAAACAGCTACTTACTTTTGCCAGCTATTGCTCCTGGTCCCCCAGTTTGCTGAAACATAAAGAGAAGAAGTGAATAAATGTAAAAGAAGAAATGTAAAAGTGGTTTTGCTACATGTTTAAAATGAATTATTCAGTTTATATATATTTGAAATACTTCATTGCTAAAAATTACTTAATACTGCAAACCAGATCAATAACACAACAACTGTTCTGAGCATTTACAGTAGATCAACTGTATGTGTATGAGCAATCCTCTCACTTTGCTCACTACAGAATTGAATGACCTACTAAGGGGTGTACATTCTTTTGTAGGCTCCATTCTGAAAATGCAGTAAAGATAAAGCTGTACCTATACAGAACTCCTGTACAGTTTGTTCAACACAAACAACATTATTTTCCTGGAATACAAACAAAATAACAGAAGACAAGCTTGGCACTCCTCAGGTTATTTGACAAAGCATAAACAAAACAAACCAATACAATCAAGGCAGTTGTGTCAAATATGCAGTTTGTGACTAAACCATTAGGTTAAATTAGCATTAAAATGTTCAATAATTCATAAATTGTTTTTTATATCATGTGGACATATTCACTGTAATGTGACAATTAACAAAGCCAGCCAGATGGAATTTAATATTCAAGAGTGTTTTGGAAACAAAACTTAATTTGAAATGAAAGTAGATTTCTGAAGTGGAAGGTGGAAAAGTATTTTGGTACAAATTGCATTAAACATCCCCAAAATGACTGCATTAAGCTATAATTAACTAGAATATTTTTATTGAAAAATATCCCAAATCATATATATAAACAGTAAATTAACTGTTACTGAATATCTAGTGCTTTTCACTTTGAAATAAAGTGTTTTTTGATCCACTTAAAACTATTTGCATGTACTTTAGATTTTCATACTTACTATTGCAGTTCAGGTGGGTAGCTGCGTCAGCATGCATAGGCTGCAAAGGAACAAGTAAAGGTTTATTCCATGCTGAAAAGAGAAGAAAGGAAACACGATATTTCGACTGTGGAGCCTTCTTCACAACCAAAATGTTGTGTTTCATTTCTTCTCTTTCCAGCATGGAATAAACCTTTACTTGTTCCTTTGCATACTTACTATTGACTGCATCTCACACCCCTATTGGCAAGGAATTTAAAAAACATCAGAATGCTGTCATTATTTTTTTTTCTTATATTATTTTTAGAAATGTAATATTAAATTAATACCTCAAAACCCACCTGAAAAAAAAAAACATTAGAAATTACTAGATAGGTAAATATCCCTTTATATAAAATATAACAGGTGAAAATGATGTGACTAATTAATAATGCTGATACTTTTATCTAAAGTGTTTGCATTTGTACCCATTTATACAACTGGGTATTCTCCTAAAGCAATTTCAGCATAGTACCTTGTTGAAGGGTATTAGAGCAGTGTCCCATCCAATCGGGCCTAAAACCATCCAATTACAAGACCTGAGCCCTAACCTCTCCTCCTTATCCTTTATTAAAAGGCTCTACAGTATATCACACTATTACATTTTAGGCAGGTGAATCTAAGCAGGGGAAAGTAGTCATTGCTTGTTCTTTCATGTTGTCAAAGCAAACACAAAAATTCACACTAGATGTTTTAATTAAAAACAAAAGCACTGGTGAGAGTGTTAAGAAAAAAGGTGCCACTATAACACCATAGTTATTAAGTTTTTTTTTACTTAACTCCACCGCATTGTCAAAAAAACATGCAGCATGCACTCCCACAGCAGATGTTGATGCAACCATCTACTGTAAGTGATAATTGCACACAATAATGCTGTTAAAACACTCTTAAAATTAAAGGTCTGTATTACAGTATATGCAGGACAAATACAAGTACTATATATGATATTGGGCTGGATATAACAAAGCCATTTGTCAATCAATAAAACCGTTTCTTAGAATCTAGAGTGAATAAAGAGTGTATTAGGTTTTGCACATTCAGGCTCAATACCTTGTAAAGTCAGTTGCAGAAATGCATTCACAAAATATGCTGCATCAGCAGGTTTCCTTGACTCAGTGAATAAGAACATGAACTAAAAGGACTTTCAGCCTTTCAAAAAATACCGATTTGGGGGAAAATTGATGGAGTTACTATGCATATTCCTTAAGATAGAATTTGTAATGAAAGTTTATATTTCACAAAAATATTGCTGTATTTGTGTGGATGTAGTATCTTTTAAGCATTAGGGTAAAACATTTCTTATTGAACATGCATTAAAATATGTCTGTTACCTCCACAGGGTACCATAAAATACATTCAAAATTCAAACAAAAAAGAGCCAGGTGTATGCCATATGTAACATAACTGCTATATCACTGACACTTTATAATGAACAATGTTACTAAGATCTGTATATTATTTCTTTTTGATGTAAATGGCTTGTAGGCACAAATACTTTTAAAGCTACTGTGCAAAGTCAGATTTTTCCACAAATTACGATTACAAGCAAAGAAAGCTAAATGTGTCATTTATCTCTTACACCAATGAAGGGAAAATTCATCACTTTAAAATTAAAAACAGATCATGAAATGCTATTTGAAAGCACTATCATGTTTTTTACTACCTGTTTTACAGTTCTTTGTCCTAGTTACAGAATCTCTCCCTCTCACTGTTATCAATGTTAATTGAGACCAGTTTGAACAATGTGTTAAAGTGCCTGAGCGTTAAAACTAAATGTTCAAAAAACGTTAGTCCTTCCAATCCAACAATAATCCACAAAAAACAATTTGGGCCCATGTTAATTCGAATTTCTAATAACTCCACACACCATGGACCACAAATCCCAGCATCTGTAGTTAGACATCATTCACATCAGCTACACCACCAGTGCTGCATGGCCAGAACATACCTCTGTAACTCCTTGTACCATAAAGTCAGACTCGTTTATGGCTTGGAAAATGGATAGATAAATATGGATTGATAAAATAGATTTTAATAATAAGAAGAATAAACTTTATTTTATATAGCGCCTTTAAAGGTGGCTTCTCAAAGCACTTTACAGGATGACAATAACAATAAATAAGAAGACTACAACAATAAATAAGAAGATTTCACAAGATAAGACACAATTACAATTACAACAATAACAATAGAGGAGACCGTGGAAGTGGTACTAAGAAGAGCAGAGGGGTGAAGAATGGAACCAGTTAAGTAAAGGCTTTTCTGAAGAAGAAGGTTTTGAGTCTGGATTTGAAGGAGTTTAGAGAAGGTGACTCTCGGATATCCTTGGGCAAAGAGTTACAGAGCTTGGGGGCATAGCAGGAGAAGGCCCTGTCGCCCATACAATGTAGACGGGCTTGGGGGACAGTAAGGAGGGCAGAATTTAAAGAGCGGAGGTTGCGAGGTGGGGAGTAGGGCGATAAAAGTTCAGACAGGTATTGAGGTGCCAAGCCATGTAAAGCCTTATAGATTAAAGTATTATTTTTTGAACAGATGAAAATGCTTGCTTTATCCTAGACACAAAGTTTTTTTAATGAAACAGGGAGCTTGAAATAGATTTATACTACAATGAAACTAGCTTTTAATTTTCAATTAACAACCAAAAACAGATGGAATCATTAATCGCAGTCTCACAGCTATTATGGAAGAGCACTGCCATATCAAGTATCCTTTCCCCATCATATTCCTCCTGTAGGAGAGTCACAAAGCCCCTAGTATTCAAAAAATGAAATTCTTCCTGGGAAAAATTATACAATTCTGAAAGTGTTTTTTTTTCCTTTCTTGTCAGTTGCTTCATCACAGCACCTTCCACGTCCACAGTCTCTACTAAAATCCTTCTAGAGTGAATGTAGGCTTAATCTTACCAGTTTTTTTTTTAATATTTCAAACCTTATCACACTACTGAGAAGAAATATGAAATTGATCACAGGACACTTGGTCTGAGTACTAAACACATCTCTGCCACAGATTAATTTATGACATAATTTCTTTTCATCGGTGACACTTTTATTATACTTGAGCCCTGACTATGAACTTCTAATTGGTGCCTTACATTTCCCAAGAGCAAAATGTTACCTGTCAAGCTTATCTATTTCTCCACACAGTATCACACTGAAAGTGACCTCTGTCTGCTTAAGCAGTGGAGCTACTGTACATGATGGAAAATTATTTATTTATTTCTTTTAATGGCAGTAAATTTTATTAAAAATGTTAACAATTTTTAAAGAAATGTTCCTTCTGTGGATGATTCATTACTGAATACTTAGTTTTAGATAACATGCATTTATGTTAAACAGATAGAATACTGTACATGCAGTGTAATTCATAAAAGGCAGTCTGTAAACTCTCTGTAATTCTGACGTATACTGGCCTGTGCCCATAGCCTAACCTTAGCAGAACACTGAACTATAATTTGTCTTCTTTTGCATAAATTATACACTTCACATACCCAAGAGACAGCTGACAATTTTCATTCGCTGAAAGTGTTAATCTTCAGATTTAATTATGTTCAATAATGAATTAATGCTTTGCATAAATAGTTTAATTGCCATTACATTTATTTCAGGTGGGTAGTTGCGTCAGCATGCGTAGGCTGCAAAGGAACAAGTAATAGGTTTATTCCATGCTGAAAAAAAGAGAACACAACATTTCGGCCTGGAGCCTTCTTCAGGTGTCAGGTGTCAGGTGTCTTAAATTTATTTGCATAGGATTCCCACACTGCCTGCACTGAATAATTACCTGAAAATAAGCATTTTGATCTGTGAATGGGAATCATAATAACCATGTAAGTTTTTGGTTTGTCATACAAAAGCTATAAAAATATTGATCTATGGATTGAAATTTAAATGTTAATCATATATTTCTGTGGCCTTGCTCCCAAATGTATGACCTCTGTTGGTAATAGGGAGTACTGCATTTAGCCAATAAGTAGAAACAAGTCGCTATTGCTTAAATACTACAGGTTTTATTGTTATATATTGCATTTTAAAGATTATTATTACACTAATAAAAAACTGGTTTTGGAGGACCTTTTAAAAGAGAAACTTCTTTAATTCTTTAGGATAAATAACAATTAGACA